ATATAGAGCACAGAATAGCAAAGGCATATAGAGCATTCAGTAAGCTCCATAAAAGAGCCTGGTGCAATAAACATCTGAAGAAAAGTAGAGATTAGTGTCTATAGAGCCATTGTACTGTCTACTCTTTTATATGGGTCTGAATCATGGGTAATCTACCGTCATCACCTGCAACTCCTAGAACGCTTTCATCAGTGCTGCCTCCGTACAATTCTAAACAACCATTGGACTGTGTCAAATGTTACTGTCTTCGAACAGGCAGGGGTCGCCCGTATTGAGGCCATATTGCTGAAATCACAGCTGCGCTGGGCAGGGCACATCTCTAGGATGAAGGATCACCGCCTCCTTAAGATTGTGTTTTATGGTGAACTCACCCCCAGTTGCCGCAATACAAGTACCCCAATGAGGAGATATAAGGACTCCCTGAAACAATACCTCAGCCTTGGCCATACTGATTACCATCAGTGGTCCACCTTGGCCTCCAATCAGGAGACTTGGAGACACAGCATACATAATGGCTCTGTCTCATTTGAGAACTAGTCTCAAGGAGAAAAGACAACGTAGAAAGAATTGCACCCCGCCTATACCACCCAAGGAGACCTTTCCCTGTGCTTTTTGCAGCCAGATTTGCCTATCTCACATTGGCCTTTTTAGTCAAGCGCACACTGAAGCCAGCTCATGTTGAGTTTCTCATCAACCAACACCCCTAAGTCCTTCTCTGCAGGGCTGCTCTGAATCACTTCGCTGCCCAACCTGTAGCTGGGCCTGGGATTGCTTCGACCCAGGTGTAGGACCTTGCACTTGGCATAGTTAAACTTCATAAGGTTGACATTGGCCCACCTCACAAGCTTGTCAAGGTCCCTCTGGATGGCATTCCTTCCCTCCAGGGTATCAACCAAACCACAGAGCTTGGTGTCATCAGCAAACTTGCTGAGGGTGCACTCAATCCCACTGTCCATGTCAGCGATGAAGATGTTAAACAAGATCAGTCCCAACACTGATCCCTCAGGGACACCACTCGTTACTGGTCTCTAGCTGGACATTGAGCCATTGACTACAACTCTTTGCATGCAGCCATCCAGCCAGTTCTTTATCCACCGAGTGGGCCATCCATCAAATTGATGTCTCTCCAGTTTAGAGACAAGGAATCCCCGTGGGACAGTGTCAAACGCTTTGCAGAAGTCCAGGTAGATGACATCAACTGCTCTACCCCTGTCCATCAGTTCCATAGCCCCATCGTAGAAGGCCACCAAATTGCTCAGGCAGGATTTCCCCTTAGTGAAGCCATGCTGGCTGTCACCAAGCACCTTGATGTTTTTCATGCGCCTTAACATGCCTTCCAGGAGAATCCACTCCCAAGTTTTGCCAAGTATAGAGATGAGACTGACTAGTCTGTAGTTCCCTGGGTCATCCATTTTCCCCTTCTTGAAAATGGGTGTTATATTTCCCTTTTTCCAATTGTTGGGACCTTCACCTTACTGCCATGATTTTTCAAATATCACACGATGACCTAAACGTATTTCAAACTGACAAGTCTTGGGAGAGCAATTTTATTTTAAAAGCACAAATAGCACAAAGTAATCAAATTGTGAATTTATAATGCGCAGTTCATACACTTTACTGTGTGTACACTACTGTAAAATAAATTTTGATTGTGTTAAATCCGCACCAAATTAATGCAAATCACTAAATTACCAAGATTATAGTGAATTTTGGTTACAGTAGAGTGGAAAAGTTCATAAAGCCTAAGGTATTTATGAAAAACAAAAGAACGAGTCTGCTTTACTGACAGCATAGCACCACCTGGCTGACATGCTTTTGCTAACTACAATGTTCTTGTTGGGAGTGCTAAATCCAGTATTACACTAGTGGCAGAAGGAAGAGATTAAGATTGAAGAATCTCATTCAGATGCAGAATCTGAAACTCACTATCCAAAATACTGACTCTTGTTGGCATCTCTCCACTGCCATCTGCGATGTAAGGTGAAGAGGGAACTATAGAGTTCATACAACAAAATAGTTCATACAGGGTTTAACTGGAAATAATCAACAAGTGATAAAGTTTTTTATGAATGCGAGACAGGGAAATCAGTGTAAAACACCATCACTGTGAAAGCGACTGGCTACTAATGCAGGTTAAACACATACACCCCTACCTATTTGTAGTCATATAGGCCATAGACTGCTAAAAGAACAAAAAGCCCTCAGTGCTTAGTTACTGGACTGTTCTTATCTCAACCTGTGGGATTTATGTTCTTTTGACTCTCTTTCCCATCCCACGGGGTGTGTGTGGGGGGAAGAAATGGGAGAGTGAGTGAGGGAGCGAGCAGCTGTGTGGTTCTGAGTCACTGGCTGGGCTTAAGCCATGACTGATTACTTGTCAATGTGCTTTTTAAAATAATGTAAATCTGTTTCTTTGACATCAAGTTCTGCAGCTGTCTGCATAGATGTCAAGAGCTTGGAGTGCTGTTTATGAGTGTCAAATTAATTTACCTTGAAGGTAATTTTTTTTTGCAAGATGCATTTGATAATGTGCAGATTCATACCAATACTAACAAATATTTGGGGCAGAGAATCTCACAGTCTTCAAGACTTCTACCTAAATCATGTTCAGACTGTCGAGAAGCCATCATCATAAATGTATCTACCCAAAAGATTAAACACCAAGCTCACCATTAACACACAGGTCATTTCCAATGGTTACAAAGATTTAAAACAAACCACCCACCTCAGATCTGGCAAATACCATAAGAAACAAAAAAAATAGAACAATTTACAGAGGAAACATGCATGGCCCCTTTGGGAGTCTATTAATTCATTTCTGAAAATGTTTTGAAGTCTTTTGTGCACAAAGCACAATAAGTTCAGCTTACACACAAGAACTCTATCTCTAACATAATGAGAAAAAAGAATTAGCAACAGATTTACAGAACATTCCTTGAGAAATAATTAATAAAGGTTATTTAGCAAAAATTTGTGTAATGCTCTAGTTACTTGAACTATGATCCAAATAGTTATTCCATGTACTTTATCTCTTTTGATACAGAATCCAGCCATAATTAACCTTTTCAACATATGACTGGGAAGCTTTCAAAAACACAGGTAGACACAGCACCTACTTTAAAGAAAAATTAAATGGAAAAAGGGAAAAGGCAGATGTCCAATGGTCAGGGTGATTACCAGCACAAGAACAAAGGCCCAAACACTGTATTTGGACATCTGAAACGTTGTTTCGGGAAAAAGTCTGAGGATATCAGCTGTTCCTGACTGGAGAAATAACTGCTACAGCAAGAGGAGCAGAGATTACTCCAATTTATACTGGAAATAAAAAAAGGCATTTGAACTTTTAAAACAAATCAAGGAACATACTGAGTATTGTATTATTTTAGATTCTTAAATACAAACAAGGTATCTTTTTAAAAGATTAGACTCCATTCATCAGAAGTAATCATACTCAGTTAACAACCATGAAGTAACTGTGTTATGCAACAGGTACAGTTACCTGAGCAGAGTGTATCCCTCTCAGGTAGAAACCTCCAACTCTGAACCCTTACAGTAGAACAGTTATACTTCACTCTGCTTCATAAATGCATGAACTGAAAGATGTAAAAATAAAATGGTGTTTGGGGATTCCCCCTCCATTACATCACATGGATGAACCCCAAAATATAAAGCAAGGAACTAATTTTTTCTACAGAGCTCTAGAGTAGCACACCTGAAACTGCACCAAGTACAACCTACCAAAAACATATACAAAGTAACTTTCAGATATTGAGACAGCTCAAAGATAGTGATAAAGATGGAAAAGCAGTATATCTTGACTAGAATGGTATGACATGCCAAAGTTGCTTATGCACCTTTGTAATGGAAAATAAAAAGTAATTATTTAGGAGTATTAAGTTTTTTCTAGTTATAAAAGTATGAATGAGGAGGAAACAGTTGTTAGACAAAAGAGTCTTTTGAGAAGCATATTTCTCGAAAACAAGCACGTAAAACTCAGTTGTATTTCTGGTAAATGAAAAACAAGTAGAATGATGATGAACGCATTAACTCAAAACAGCAACATTTTAAAAAAAAAAAAAAAAGCCAGCAAGTTTAAAAACCTGTCTAAAACATCTGACCCCCAGAGAATGGATGAACCAGTCTTAAGTCAAAATGAAACATGGAAATAGAATGAGACACTGTCCATGGACCAGTGCCTCATTCTAAGTAACATCATGAAATTGGTACAAAAACTACCTTCAAGGTAAATTAATTTGACACTCATAAACAGCACTCCAAGCTCTTGACATCTATGCAGACAGCTGCAGAACTTGATGTCAAAGAAACAGATTTACATTATTTTAAAAAGCACATTGACAAGTAATCAGTCATGGCTTAAGCCCAGCCAGTGACTCGGAACCACACAGCTACTCGCTCCCTCACTCACTCTCCCATTTCTTCCCCCCACATACACCCCGTGGGATGGGGAAGAGAGTCAAAAGAACGTAAATCCCACAGGTTGAGATAAGAACAGTCCAGTAACTAAGGTATAATACAAAACTACTACTACTACCACTAATAGTAATAATAATGATAAGGGAAATAAGGGGAGAGAATATAAAACTAAAAAGGGAAGGGGAAACAAAGTAATGAACCTAAGTGATGCACAATGCAATTAACACCTGCTGGCTGATACCCAGCCTGACCCAAGCAGTGATCTGCCCTTCCAGGTTACTCCCCCCAGTTTATATACTGGACATGACGTTCTATGGTATGGAATACCCCTTTGGCTAGTTTGGGTCAGGTGCCCTGTCTCTGCTTCCTACCAGCTTCTTGTGCCCCTCATCACTGGCAGAGAATGAGAGACTGAAGAGTCCTTGATCAGGATAAGCATTACTTAGCAAAACCTAAAACACCGGTGTGTTATCAGCATTGTTCTCAGACTAAAGCTGAAACACAGCACTGCAACAGCTATTAAGGAGGAGAAAAATAACTGTTACAGCTGAACCCAGGACACTTACCATCGTACTTTATTGCATGTCTGCGTAGCGCCAAGAGGCGAACCTCCCACCATGGGGACTTGGATGGGGCTGTGCTGTTTGTTCATGACAAGATCAAGCTTCTCTTCCAATGATTTACAGGTCGCCTCCAATGCCAGCAACTTTGCCTCAATGCTATTCAACCGCAGACATATTGCCTGATTAATGGAATACAGGAACGACTGGAAAGGGAGAATGAAAGACACTGATTTTAAAGACTTATGCATTTATCTTAAGCAACATACGCAGAAGGAATCTCCACATAAATGTGACTGGAAAACAATTCTAAAGCAACTAGCAGCATGCCTAGTGACAACATTCATCCACATACGAAACTGATGACATCCAGGAGCATTTTACCATTCTCAAGTTCTTCTAGATCTTTACTTGGAAACCAAATTCATCCAAGCCAAACAGATTTTCACCTAAGCACTTTGTTGGTATGATTCTGTACACATGTGAAAGCCTTTCATTCCACAGAAGTAGAATCCTTTAAGTTTTACATCTATGAATATATCCTCCTGAATAAAGTATTTTTTTCCTACCCTAAACAGATAAATTCAGATGATTACAGTGGAAATTATATCAACATGAATAACCTCAGAGACAATTAATGCCACTCACTTAAGTTTTCTCCTGAACAGCAAACCAAGAAAAGTGAATATCTGTTTTCCTAAGCAACCTTATACAAAAAAAGCCTATTCTACTTGGATCCTCTTGGGAAAAATAGGCTATTAAAGGGTAATGTTACACATTCTCCTTTGTGAACAGCGACTATGCCATCTCGCAGCCCACTGTTACAACTTAAACCGGTTTACAGTGCTGTTGTGCTCCCTGGTGCCCTTTCAATACAGAACTTCAGTTTCTATGATGACCATTTTAAAACTACAGAACTACATACTGTTTAACATGTGTGGCAGTAAAACACTACTCTCAGACTTATGCTCCAAGGAACAACAATGAAAAACCCCACAAAACTAAAACACAGTAGAGAAAAGCAGAGGAAGTTCTGCAAGTACAGAAAAGCCTGAGCTACTGAGCCTGAACCAAATCCAGCTTAGCTATTAAGAGAATGTTGTTAGCTCAAAATAATAATTTCAAGCATGCTAAAAGTATATACAAATTGTAATACAAATACATGCTCAAGTTTATCTTTTAGGTCAACTTCATTCACTTCATCAAACAATGTACCAATAGTGACATTTGAGTAACTGTAATGAAATCTGATGACATTTCATACTTTATGTAAAATTCTTGCTACAGATTTTTACACTGGAGAACTAAGAAATTATCCAGATCTTCATGCAAAAAATGAACTAACATCTACAAGAAGGCTATGAATAATTCCAGTCTTATGTAATACCATAATAAACAGTTTATTTGACATTCTTTCAACGTATTTCCCTAAGCAAGCTAACTTTCTTTTATTTGTAATTGAATTAAGGAAAAGGCATCATCATAACCTTAATAGAGGGATCTTGGCAGTTAATTTCTATACGCTGATGTTTCAGAACAGGCTCTACATCATCATCTGTCACTTCAGGATTCTCCAACACAACTGCAAAGAAAAAAGCACTGCCATAGCTTATAATAGAAGAGGACAAGGCTCAAATTAAAAATATATGAAATGGATTAAATAAAAAGTAAAAGGTGCTTAATTAATATATTGCATGTATTATTTCACACTTACTTGGGTTTTCTCTTAAATATATGACAATGGCTTACTGCTTCTCAAAAAAACATTTATCCAAATTAATACTTTGTTTCAAACACACTAAGGATATATCATTCAAGCATTACCTTGGATTTTTTCTTATATTTTTTTTAGGAACTTACCAGGAGGTAGCTGAATTACCACACTGGCTGTTCTGCTTTGACAGATTTTACAGGCTTCTTACCCCCACATTTACACAAAACCATAAAAAGTACAAATGAAGCTCTGTACAAAGGAGGAATCATAGAATACTTAGGGTTGGAAAGGAACTTAAGATCATCTAGTTCCAATGTTCCAATCCCCCAGCCATGGGCAGAGACACCTCACAATAAACCATCTCACCCAAGGCTCGGTCCAACCCAGCCTTGAACACTGTCAGAGATCATTCACAACCTTCCTGGGCAACCTATTCCAGTGCCTCACCACCCTCACACGAAAGAATTTCCTCCTTATATCCAATCTAAACATCCCCTGTTAAAGTTTTAACCCGTTACCCCTTGTCTTGTCACTACAGTCCCTAATGAAGAGTCCCTCCTCAGCATCCCTATAGGCCCCCTTCAGATACTGAACAGTTGCTATGAGGTCTCCATGCAGCCTTCTCTTCTCCAGGATGAACAGCCACAACTTTCTCAGCCTGTCTTCATACAGGAGGTGCTCCAGTCCCCTGATCATCCTCGCGGCCCTTCTCTGGACTTGTTCCAACAGTTCCATGTCCTTTTTATGTTGAGGACACCAGAACTGCACACAATACTCCAGGTGAGGTCTCATAAGAGCAGAGTAGAGGGGCAGGATCACGTCCTTCAACCTGCTGGTCACGCTCCTTTTCATGCTGCCCAGGATATGGTTGGCTTTCTAGGCTGCAAGCGCACACTCCCTTCTCATGTTCATTTTCTCATTGACCAGCACCCCCAAGTCCTTCTCTGCAGGGCTGCTCTGAATCTCTTCGCTGCCCAACCTGTAGCTGTGCCTGGGATTGCTCCGACCCAGGTGTAGGACCTTGCACTTGGCATGGTTAAACTGCATGAGGTTGGCATCAGCCCACCTCACAAGCTTGTCAAGGTCCCTCTGGATGGCATTCCTTCCCTCCAGGGTATCAACCAAACCACAGAGCTTGGTGTCATCAGCAAACTTGCTGAGGGTGCACTCAATCCCACTGTCCATGTCAGCGATGAAGATGTTAAACAAGATCAGTCCCAACACTGATCCCTCAGGGACACCACTCGTTACTGGTCTCCAGCTGGATACTGAGCCATTGACTACAACTCTTTGCATGCAGCCATCCAGCCAGTTCTTTATCCACCGAGTGGGCCATCCATCAAATTGATGTCTCTCCAGTTTAGAGACAAGGAATCCCCGTGGGACAGTGTCAAACGCTTTGCAGAAGTCCAGGTAGATGACATCAACTGCTCTACCCCTGTCCATCAGTTCCATAGCCCCATCGTAGAAGGCCACCAAATTGCTCAGGCAGGATTTCCCCTTAGTGAAGCCATGCTGGCTGTCACCAAGCACCTTGTTGTTTTTCACGTGCCTTCACATGCCTTCCAGGAGAATCTGCTCCCAAGATTTTGCCAGGCACGGAGGTGAGACTGACTGGTCTGTAGTTCCCTGGGTCATCCATTTTCCCCTTCTTGAAAATGGAGGTTATATTTCCCTTTTTCCAGTCATCGGGAACTTCACCTGACTGCCACGATTTTTCAAATATGATGGCCAGTGGCTTAGCAACTTCATTTGCCAGCTCCTTCAGGACCCGCGGATGGATTTCATCAGGTCCTGTGCACTTGTGCATGTTCAGGTTTTTAAGATGGTCTCAATCCAGATCCTCTCCTACAGTGGTCCCAAGGTCTTCCTTGTCACAGTCCCTGCATCTACCCAGAATTACACCCACTACTCAGGCTAGTAGCAGTTCCCCCCCCCCAGTAAACAAAATCCTGCCAGCTTTCCAGAATAATTACTTACATATACAGACCCATAGCCTCTAATAGCCTTTTGTCTAACAGCAAACACTTTGAAGAAAACAGTAATAAAAGAACTGAATTTAGAACTTTAAGGCCTGGCTGGCTAGCAAAAAAAAAAAAAAAAAAAAAAGAAGTGTAAAGCCCTGAAAAGCCTCAGTCAGCATCACCCAAGATGAGAACAAGTTGGAGTTCCTTTACCAAGCTGAGCAAAGGAAGTCTTGTTTAGAGTTGACCAGACCATAGTAGACACTCCTGAACACCAAGTTACCAGCTAGATAGACTACAACAGGGAGGTCCCAGCTTCTCCTCCAACACTTGGGAACATTTCTGAAGTAACTTTTTAGTTTTGTATCAGAAGATAAGTTCTTTTGATATGCATTTCTGTTTTTCATAACTGTAGTTGCCATTCTTTCAGTCACCTCCTCACAAGTAACAGCAGCATAGGATCAGTGAGTATGGCTTATCACTTTTTTGGCTTAGTAGGTCAAGTTCTAAGCAAGGAATATCACTGTATTTGCTTCCAGGAGTATTTTTAAATTTCAATAACATATCAGAGAAACTATTTTACAGATATGTCCTGGGTTCAGCAGTAGCAGTCGTTTCTCCTTCGTGGTAGCTGGTGCAGTGCTGTGTTTTGACTTCCAGCCTGGGAACAGTGTTGGTGATACCAATGTTTTCGGTTGTTGCTAAGTGATGTTTACCCTGACCAAGGACTTTGTGAGGCTCATGCTCTGCCAGGGAGGAAGGGAAGCTGTGAGGAAGCAGGGACAGGGTGCCTGACCCAGGCTAGCCAAAGAGGTATTCCATACCACAGCACGTCATGCCTGGGGTGGGGGGTAACTGGGAGTTACCCGGAAGGACACGGGCTTCCAGGTGGAACTCATTTCTTGGACAGTGGTATTGTATTCTCTTCCCTTGTTATTTTCTCTTATCATTGTTGTCGTTGGTGGTAGCGGTGGTGATTTGTGTTGTACATTGGTCGCTGGACTGTTCTTGTCTCAACCCGTGGGAGTTGCACTCTTTCAATCCTCCTCCCCGTTCCTCCAGGAGCAGGGAACAGGAGAACCCCGGGGAGGGAGGCGGGGGGGGCCTCCATTGTTCTCAGCTGGGCACCACTCACTGGGAGTGAGTGAACAAGCTGTCTGGCTAGGGTTTAAACCACGACAATTCATAATAGATGGGTGATAGTTATCATTTGAGGGAAAGCCTAAAACATACATTTGGTCTGGAGAAAAACAAAACCTTGAATGAAATATGGCCTCCTGCAAAGTTTTTGGCACTAGTCTGCCCCTGCACAAAAAAGCCCCAGACAAAAAGGCCTTTAAAAGAAAAATAATTATTTTTTAAAAAAAACTGATCTAAAGGGTACTGAAGATATACAAGCTACTGAAAACCTGATGTGTAGTCTTAAGAAGCACCTCTCAGAAAAGAATCTGCAGCACTGCTTTATATTAAGAAAAGCTCAACAGCAATTTCCACCTTGTCAATGAGCAATACTATAAATATACTTTTCTTTTGCCATCACTAACACCTCTACTGTACCTGGGTTATCTGGAGTCAGGTCTTCAACAGCAATCTGAACAACATCTGCCAAATCCTGTTCTGACATCATTCAGAACCAGACAGCAATATCCAGTCAAACACCACTGCAGGTCCCCAAACAAGTAATTTTGCAAGTCATACAATCCTGAAAAACAGCAGCAAGAAGAGTGTTAATACAGATTACTTGATATATTAATACTGCCTTTATTTTTTCATTCTTCTTCTATAAAAGGAGATGCAGTTCCCAACACAAATGACCAGCCTACAAGTGATCATCCAGTGGTATCAACAGCTACTTCATTTAGTATCCTCATCAAAGAGCAAAGGACTCAACTACATGCATTGCCCGAGTCAATCTTTCTATATGAGGCCTGAGACAAGGACTCAAGCTTTCCTTGCTGATCCACCTTTCCACATTTTCCCAACAGATAAAGAGAACATTTAGCTTCAGATTTGGCAGCTCATCAGGATAAAAATCAAAGAAAACATTTTATTTTTAAGTTTATTTTTGTTTTAGAAGTTTTAAGACCATACAAGACCATTCCTAAACTGCAGGAGTTTAATTTACAAATTATTGCTTAGCTCTTGGAAGGGACCAGACTTTAGTATTTAGTCTTAATGTCACAAAAGCATATGAAGCTCCCAAGCCTAGCCTAGGTTTGCAATTACTGCATTCTCTACAAACCTACATGTACACAAGATCATAGAATAGTTAGGGTTGCAAGGGACCTTAAGATCCTCTAGTTCCAACCCTCCCTGCCACAGGCAGGGATGCCTCACACTATACCAGGTCACCCAAGGCTCTGTCCAACCTGGCCTTGAACAATGACAAGGATGGAGCATTTGCCACTTCTTTAGGAATCTTAACAGGCCTCTCAAATCTTCAGAAACAGTCAGTGAGAACAGGGAGCTTCCTCACAGCTAATTACAACTAGACTTGAAGCAAAACTTGACTTTTCTTTCCCTTGGTTATTGAACTTACCTGCATTTTCTACAGCAATGCTGATGAAACCATTTTCAGAATATGGTCCTGATTTTAAAGCCAAAATATTTCTCAGCCCTGCTCCCTTGGAATTCTCAGTCAAGGTTATTTATTAGTGTTTTAAGAGAAACTGTCTGTAAAACTGAAATTGAAACACTGGAACCATTCAGGTATGCGCTTTCTCAGTTTACAAAGGGATGGACAATGAATACCAAGAGATCAGCCAATTTTTTTCCTTTTTAACTTGAAGCAAAACACTAGAGAGAATTTGAGATTTAGCAATGGAAATGGTAATTCATCCCTTAACACTGACACGGAATCAAATCCAATTATGCATAAAGATAGTCCTCTTCCACTTGAGCACAAGAACGCCATTAAGCCATACAGGTGGAGTACTAATATTTGAAGAGAGCAACACAATCTACAGAAGAACTTTGAGACTGGCCTGAGCAATCACTGCATGCTGTGAAAGCCCATCTTTGAGATGGGCTTTGAGTCTTGAGGAGGATTCCCCACATATCCCACTTGTTTACTCAAAATACTAGCACTGTCAATACAGTGTCATTTGAAATCCTGATCATGGTAAAAAACTATTGGTACAGCACACACTGTGGCTTCATGCCCAAAAAAAAAGTAGCAATACATTAGTGCATATGGATGCCATTTTGGTAAACTGTATTTGCTATTTCTGTGAAATCTTGTAACCAGCCAATCTTAACAGAATACAACAGCTGTGCTGCAGTTACTGCTTCATAATATTACATACTGCTAGTAATATTAAGAACCCTGCCCTCAACTTGAGGACAGCTGCCACTCCAAATGCACAAAGGACAAACTAGAACAAAACTCAACTTTTAAAACTTTGTCCATTTATACAATTCAAGATTTCACTCATACTTCACATGCTGCATTGAAACCACTTATAGCTACATATATATCAATATTTTATAAAGCATTACAAAGAATTTGCAGTGCTTTTGTTTAAATACACTTTAATACTTCACATGATGTACATATTTAGCCTTCCAAAATTCATTTAAGAAAAAATTTAACCTTTCTTCAACACAAACAACACAATTTCACACTTGTGACATTAGTTCCCCACTTCTCATGGGTATGAAAGTATTCAGCCTCATGTCAGTAAAGTACCATCAAAATATTCTGCTGCAGAGCCTTGAAATACAGGCATAACAACCAAACTATGACTGGCAGAACAGCTATTACACACAGACAGCAGTGTGTCTTCATATCATTAGTATTTATTTCCATGTAAGCAAATTTTATTACAACTTCAGTAAGTCAGGCACAGCTACCAGGCAATTAGGTTTTTTATTTTTATTTCTTTTTATATTTATTATATTTATTTTTAATTACAACCAATATCCTCATGGAACACTTTTGCCTTCTTAACAGGCAAAAGAAAATATAATTCTGCTGTCACCAGAGGCAGAGATCTCCTCTATGAGAACATAAATGGAAACAAATAATTCTGTTACTAACACTAGATGCATGGATTAGAAAGGCAATGCCCAAATAAACCACAAGGGGTACTGCAACCACAGTAGCTATATCAAAACTTTATTAAAATGCCCCTCTCCCAAATTCAGAATTTTAATTTATAACAGAAAAATTTTGCAGTGGTCTAACCGTGTTTTGAGAACCAATGATAAAATCCCAATAAAATTTATCAGATTAGTTTATCAGCTTTGAAAAGCTGGTAAAATTCAGCCTAACTTTGCCAATATAGTTTTCCACACATTTTACTCAGTGAAGCATTTACCAGCATTTCCTCATGAAAAACACTACTTCTCTTGAAATTTTCTATGTGTTCCCAGTCTCCCCCCTCCCCCCCCCGCTTTTTTTCTTATGGCTGAAACCCTAATCCCCACTAATTCCAAAGCCACCAATGCTGAAATATAGCTTAATATTTATTCCAGGTGATAAAAAAATATTAACAGAAAGTCAAGAAACCAAGGATAAACTGCATGAAACGTGCCCACTTTTTCTCCCCCAACCAGCATGTGGAAGTTGGAGCAAAGCAGCACTATTTTACAGTCAATTTGCCATTATCTGGGAGAGAAGTAAGGGAAGACAGCTCATACCAGACAATGGCAAATATCTCATTAATACACTACAGGAGGCCTTGGACTCACAATGACTACGGCTGAGCTATTTAGATCTGCATTGCACTCATCACTTCTCCCAGAGCATTTTTGGAGGGTTGGAAGAGACTGCTTCAACTCTGACCCAATGCAAAAACTGAGGAACGGGTTACGGTGTGTATCTGAGGGATTTCCTCCCACCTCAGCCCTGGATGCCTTCAAATTTGTTACCTCAAATGTTTCAGACCCTTCAAATCTCTTGCATCATGCAGCCAGTACCCAGACTGGCTTCATTACTGTCTGCCCTTTCCCTACCCCAGGCCAGACACAACTTCAGTAAACTTGCATAATAAAGCCACCAGAAACCCATTCCTGTTGTATAAAGCAACACGAATTAAAAATTGACTCAGGTTTGAATCACAATGAATGGAAATTACCATACGCAGCAAGCATATAGCATTAGTTCCTTCTTACCTCCCAAAACTGTTGTTGGTTTTGTTTTGGGGTTTTTTTTTCCCCTCAAAAATTTGCAAACACAGTCTTAAGATTCCAAGATGGAATGAGCATCAATATGGAGTAACAGAACTAAACCTTTAATAATAAATACAGTCTATTTCATCACTCACCAAAACTTTAAAATATTAATTTCACTCTTTATATACTGAACTTTAGCTTCTTTATTACTACTAAATCTACAAAGGAAGATATTCTAACCTTTCTTAGCATCTGTTTAGCTTTCATCCTTATTCTCAATCCACCTTAAAAGGAAAGACGCGTTTTAAGTAAATTTCATAGTAAAACTACACAAGCCTTTTAAGTTTAACCTCTTTAAAAATTAATAATATACAGACATCTTTGGTTCAGCCAAAGATCAGAGGGAAAAAAAAAAAATTATCCTCCCAAGCCCCCACAGAAGCATTCCTTATCTTTGAAAGCACGGACAGCAGCCATAGCTTTCTGGAGACATATAAAATAAATACCACTCAGAGATGCTATGCTAATGGGCTCCAGTACAAGTTCTTAAAATACAGACAGCAACAGAAAAAGAAAGGAAACAGCTGCTCCAAGAATAAAAGAACTTGAAATTTCTTTGAAGTACAAAATCTTACAGGGAGGCAGAAATTCTCAAATATTGCTATGAAAGCTCAAATTATCATTATTTTATTGTTTTATTCCTAGAAGTATTCTACCCCACCTGGTACAAGCCACTGTTTTGCTTGGATGTCTTTTCCTAATTCTTGTAATACACTACTGAGATGGGAAAAGAACAAGCAAGACAGAATGAAGGATAGCTCATTGTAAATAGAACAAACATTTTGCTTGTAACTAAGCGACCTGAACTCCAGGTGGACTCTGTAACAATGATAAGGAAGAGAACTCTTCAGTTAATGTTTAGGGAAACCAGTTAAAACAAACTAAAGGAACTGGCAAATGGACAACAAGGCTGGCCAATTCCAAAGTTCAGCCAAAGGATGAAGTAATGAAGAGGAAGATGATGAAGAAACGACCACCAGGGGTCCCAATGACCAATACCACATTATTGTGCACATGCAGGAAGAATTTTCTAGAGATGATGTAATGCATAAGTAACTTCATGAATATGCACGTAATGTAATTAATATGTACATTTAATGATTATATAATCACAGCTTGCTTGGTGCTCAAATGAGACACACTTGGAGGAGCTGTCCTCTGTGTCTCCCAGCACCGCAATAAAGAACACCTGCTTGTCAACTTAAACTTTGCTGGCAAGTTCTTCGATATTTTCTACAAATCCCTAGTACCAATGGCCACAATCCTAACACAAAGTACAACAAACTAAACCAGAAACACTGCTGCCCTGCTTGCCAGCAAGCTCATACCAGCTTACATTGTTCTGGCAGAAGTAGTGACCGCATCAAGTGTGTGGCCACATGCACCAGCAACTCAAGCACAAATTCTCTGTAGAACTTGTATAAACATTCTTGCTGTTGTCAGGTGCCAACAGCTGCACTGCCATGTCTTTGATATCATTATTCCCAAGTGAGCTAGAAGGATATGTTAACGCCTATTACAACTACATTTTCAGGTGCAAAAAAGTCTGAGTTTACAGACACATAAGACTACCCACATGGCCAGAATGGCCACAAACAGAAAAATAAAACCCACACACAACCAAAAAAACACACCCCACTGAAAGAACCCAAGTTGCACTTATCTGCCTGAATAAAAGGGGTTATTTTAAAAGAGTTGGCATTATTACTCTTGCAGGGGAAATGGAGAGAAAACAACAGATTTTTAAACGTCTCAAGTCACTTCTCAGTAAAAGCTCTGTAAGAGCTGAGGTGGGGGGAAGAAGAGGGGAACTTTCTTTAGAAAGCCAATACTCCAGAAAACACTAGTAGCTGAAGTACCACCAGGTACAAAATCTCTGTGGCACTAACTCAGAACAGGTATCATCCAAAATTCTTGTGCTGCACCATAATTTTCATGAGCAGCAGAAGAAAGTTACACTGCAAACGAGCTTCACCACTTCTACTCAGAAGATCCAGAGTCAAGAAGCTGACTGAGAAAAGCTGTGAAGTCTTCACCCCATCCCAGAAATCATGCACTCTGAGGAAGAGTACAAGCAGTACGAACACATTACAAATATCAGAATGTTGT